ACTTTTCTATATCTATATAAGTTTCATATGTAATAGACGTGTAATTTCCGGTCAAATGCCAAAAAGGAAAGGAAAGGACAGACCATTGGAGTGGTGGGGAAGGAGTCCTCAATAAGTTATTTAGTGTTTCATACAAACAAATCAATGAATGTTTTACTGTATATTCCAGAAGTATATTGAAAACGAAATCTTGACTTTCAATTGAATGTCAAAACGAGTGACACTTTGATATATGAACACAAAATAATGTCTAAAAAATATGTTTTATTTCACTTTTTTAACTGATTTCATACAGAATTTCATGGAATTTCTAAATGACTATTACGGTAATTGATATTAAAGTTATAATGATATATAAATAGAGACAACATTTTATAAAATAACACTCAGATTCTGTTAAATTTTCAGTGATTAATGCATTGATTTTAAAAACAGCTAACTCGATCAGTGGTAAAAGCAATGATTAGTTAATAATTAAACAATGAATTCATGTATGGATTATACAAAAATAATTGACAAATCATACAAAACAGAAAAATAAGTAAATCCTTGAGAGGAATAATAAATGACTTTAGATTTGTATCACAACTCTGTCTTAGTCTTCTCCTTCTGAAAGGCGTAAAACTTCTGTAATAACTCCAACTGTTTCTGAGGGTCTTTCGATGCCGTGATAGCCGTTTGATCGCACTTTTTAGCGCCAGTGTTGGCATCAATGGTATCGACATCACCGCTCGGCAGATGAGGTTTCTCTTCGTGTTTGGCGAGACTTCGTCTCGTCTTGTATTCAGCCGAACAGCCCTCGTATTTGCACTTAAACTTCACTTCAGGTGTAGGCGTAGGAACTCGGGGTTCGGGTGTCTTAACGACTGGACTGTCCGACGATTTGGTTGCCTCCGAAGGCGTGACTAGAGTTGTCTTCGGCTGTCGCTTGAAATCTGAAGTAAAAGTAATTTTTATAAATTAATTACAAAAATCAAATGTCTTATGAGTTTGTGTGGCGTGATTGTCAGTACCGATGCTGTTGTGGTCCCTCCGGTGCTGACTCTCGTGCGCCTTCAAGTCCATGACTTTCTCAAACTTCTGGTCACAACCACTGAATTTACACATAAACGTCGAAATCATTTTATGAATGCACTTCTGATGCAGTCTTAAGCTCTGCATCGACGCGAATGTCTTGTGATTGCATTCGCCGCACGAGAATGTCTTCCTCTGTTCAATGGGTGACGAGTAGTCTC